CTTCTTAGTAACTAAACACTAATAGGGTGTCCCTTAGCAACAAAACACTAACAGAGTGCTTCTCAGTAACTAAACACTAATAAGGTGTCCCTTAGCAACTAAACACTAACAGAGTGCTTCTTAGTAACTAAACACTAATAGGGTGTCCCTTAGCAACTAAACACTAACAGAGTGCTTCTTAAAATTAAACACTACCAACTGACATCTGGAATATTAAAACAGAGAATGCAAGTGTGTTGTAACTCTGTGATGAGTGGCATTTTTTTTATATTTCCGTGCAATAAGATGATGTGTGGTATATTAGATACAAGTCCTGAAGAATGCGGTAAGTTAGTATCTTATAGCTATTTCAAGATTTGAAAATACACAGCAGATAAAGTAAGCACAAAGGACATCACATTCTCTAAAGTGTATTATCTTGAGAAGCAGGCTGTTGTCTGAAGGAACATGTCTTGTAAGTTTGTAACTACTAAAATAAAATAGAAAAAAAACTAGTCTAGTGAAACTTAGAACATCAACATCTGTCGGAACAACAATAAAGATTATACGATATAAGTTAGAAGAAAATGATTTATTTAGAGTAGATATAAAAAAAAACCTCCATTAAAAATTAATATGATTAAAACATTTATAACATCACAAGAAGACAAGATTGTGGACAGCTAGTTCATTATCTTATGGACAACTGGTTCATTGCTACGTGTCATGTGGACAGCTAGTTCATTGTTGCATGTCATGTGGACTACTTGTTCATTGCTACATGTCATGTGGACAACTAGTTCATTGTCTCATGGACAACTGGTTCATTGCTACATGTCATGTGGACAGCTTGTTCATTGTTACATGTCATGTGGACAAATGGTTCATTATTGCATGTCATGTGGATTACTTGTTCATTGTTGCGTGTCATGTGGACTACTGGTTCATTGTTGCAAGTCATGTGGACAATTGGTTCATTGTTACATGTCATGTGGACAATTGGTTCATTGTTCCATGTCATGTGGACAGCTTGTTCATTGTTGCTTGTCATGTGGACTACTGGCTCATTGTTGCATGTCATGTGGACAATTGGTTCATTGTTGCATGTCATTGCTAGTGTGAAAAAAGTACTTCAAATCAATAAAACCCTGACATGTTTAAAGTGATGGCTGACAAGAGCATCTTTTTCCTTTTTGCCACCAATGCATTCATATGAGCTTCTACCAAAGATTAAAACAAAAGAGGCTGTTATTGTATTACAAAGTGAAGTGAAATTGTAACAGTTAAATACACCTTTCAAAATTTCTATCATATTCCTCAATTATGAAGGTTCCTTTACACATGATCCTGCTACCACTTGTAATCAATGTTCAATATCTCATGCTGGTCATAGTTTGGAGATTCTAGAAATATCCTGAGACTACTCACATCTCAAAGGGATGAAACAGAAATATCACTTTAGGATCCAGGACTCACCAGAACAATCAACAATCGAGACTTGTGCAGCTTGCCCATAAAGATCGATAACTCCGTACAGTTTTTCAGCCACACATTTGGCTGCAGCTCCTTGGTCCTCCCCATTAACATAAAAATGGAGTGTTCCATCTGGTTCTAGGAGGACTCCCACTCGATCACCAATCTGTAACGTGACAATCAGCTCATGAAAAGTCAGCCACAGTGTTGTTAAAGTCAGATGGATATTAAGTGGCTTAGTGAAAAATATCTTTGAATTCATAAAGCTTTTGAACCTAATGTAGTAACATCATTGAAGCAGGAATGATCAAATATATAGAAGTTCAAATGAAAAACATAACAATCACAGATACAAAACTTCACAGGAGGTAGGGACAATCACAAATATAGAGAACTTCACACAAAGCAGGGACAATTGCATATATATTTCAGAGAAGCAGGGAAAATCACTGATCTAGGTTCACTGAAAACAGGGACAATCACAGGTCTAGGTTCACTGGAAGCAGGGACAATCACAGGTCTAGGTTTATTGGAAGCAAGGATAATCATACAAATAGGACTCACACAACATCCAGTAGTGTTGTTTGTTCTCAGAAGGAACAGCTCACAGTGAAAAAGATTGAAATGGATAAGAAAATAATCGTTAGAAATAGCTAACTTGTATTCAATGCACCTCAAAACTTCTGTTATACATTAAAAACCTAAAATCTACTCGGAGTTTTTAACTGTTCAACAAACCTTTAATCGCTCTAAATTTATCCCATATTCTTCAACTACAGAGGTTCCGTTACACATGATACCACTACCAGTCATCATCCACGTCCCAGATCTCATGTTGGTCATAGTCGATGGAAATTCAATGTCATAGGGTGAATGTGTGGTCACTCCAATCTCTATAGACCCTGTCCACTTGACCACTTGCTGCTCTAAGATGACCTCAAACATCTCCGCTGTCCTCAGAGGTCGATTAGTCAAAGCAACAGCATTATTGAAATCTTCCAGCGCACTGTGGATGATAACGTACAACAACAGTCTACTCTGTACTCCGTCTCTTTGTATCATTTTTATGATTGCTCATATGATAATGTTTTCCACTCTTAGTAAAAATAATTCTAATCTTGGTTAAAGTACAAGAAACAACAAAACTTTAAAGTTTCAGTACACATACAGTTAACTTTTGTTTTTTATATATAAAGTAGCACTTCCCACTTTTATCTCACAAAATCAAATTTTGAATCATTTTTATAACGCTCTTCTATTACAGCGTTTACACAATTAATTGATACGACATACTTGTACAGATCGTATTCCCAAACGTTACTGCACACACACAACATGTATTAAGCTTGCATCTATTTTACTCTCACAAGAAAGTATTAACTGATGCACGTATACGTGACCCAAGACCTCAGTACAGAACGAACTAGGTCGGAAACAAAATGCTTGTCATGACTGCAGCCATGAAAAATCCAAAGTTTCATCACATGGTCAGCTGGTTTTTACAGTTTATTATGAGATTAAAACTATCACATAAGTAATTTATAATATCACACAGATTCTGTTACAGCATTAATTGCTAAGGGAACAGAAAATTATTAATTTTTTTAGGGTTTTTCATAATTATAAGTGGTTCTTACAACATAAATATTGTGGTTATAATAGTAAATGGTGTTTCTACCACATTAATGACGGAGAATAAAACTCCTCCTCCCTTCTGACGATAATATGCCAGAAGAGAAATAGAATGGATACGAAAGAACTAACAGAGGGCTTACTTTGGACGGAGAGCTGTGCGTCCATTGTTGGTGATTTCAGCATGGACTCCACACCTCTCGTGGAACAATAATGGTTCTAATTCTTGTGAATTGGCTAAAACATTGAAAATTAACCTCATTTCAAAATCCTCACTCTATACAAGACATATTACACCTCTAGACATTTAGTTTGTAATGACTGTTTGTTAACTTATCTTAATTAAACAAGTGCTGTTTATTGAAACACGTACAGCACATAACTTTGAAACAACACAGAACACAAATGGAGGTAAAGGCACGTGTATTGGTTCCTATTAATAACTGCACGTACCCGTCTGTGGATTGATTATCACTTCCCCCGAACATACCACGGCTGATAAGCAGTATACTAACATGAAACTTTATGCAAAATATACTAAAAAATCAGTGAAAAAAAAAGAGCCATGATGATTAAAGTATGCTTAAAAAAGACCATCTGATACTGCGCAAGGCAGGAAACATGCCTATATGCTACGGCCATCGTAGCCAGTGAAGGCCCAGGAAAGATATGGTGCAAGTAATAATATTATTATAAAATAGCACGTGATAATAACCAGTCTCATGATTTTGGACACGATAATAACACGTGCTCGGATATGTTTGATAAATAACGTGAGCCAGGAGCACTCATGAGCAGTAATCACTGTGACCACGTGTTTCAAAATTTTACTTCAAATTTCAGCATTTTAATCTGCATACTGTATTATTGGAGGTTTAAATGGAATCTTGGTATTTTAAAGTATAACCCCGGGTTACAATAATACTGTTTTACCTTTATTGTTTGGGTTCAAGGTTTTGTGATATAGTCTCATTAAAGCATTTGTGATCTTATAATGTTGTAGATCTAAACAAGGCGTTACTACAGTTGCCACATGAAAAAGTAAGCCATCAAAATCATACACAAACTACACTCATATTTTACTATACTTAACAGATTCCTTAAATTTACTACAGCCAGTAATAAATTACTACAAATACAAGAACACAGTGTACGTAGATGTACTAAAAGAATTTACCTAGAGAAGCTGGTAAGTAGGTTTCTTCACTAAACATGTTACTAAAGTTCTGGTCAAGAGCTTCGGGAGAACTGTCCTGGACCTCATCTACGATGGTCACTTTCACTGTCATGCCGTACAAGTCCACAACACCGTACACGACAGCTGGGATGTCACTTGCTGCTATGCCTTGATCTAACTCATTTATGTAGTAGTGGAGGTTGCCGTTAGATTTCCTCATTAGTCCAATTCGGTCTCCTTCCTGAAATCACAACTTAACCATTATATATATATACTGATCGTGTGAGCTAGTATCTCAGTTAACAAAACATTACAACAATGACAACATCAACAGTTTGGTTAATAGTTTTATTCTTCCACATTTGTCTCATTATGTATCTACAATGGAAATTCTATCAGGGTTAATACAGACTTTATAACGAAAAGCTTCCAGTAATTTCCACAGCTTTGTTATCAGGACCGACAGCTTAAATTTCTAGGACTCTGGATTAAACTCGCATTTTCCTGCCATTTTTGTTCATTAAAGATACCTGCCAGTAGAAACAGAAAAAAATCTTGGGTCTTGCAAGACACAAGGACTCACAGTGGTCAACACCAACTTAAAAGAAACCTAATTGTGATAACCAAACTTCTTTTGTTTTGTTTTTTTGTAATTAAGCCAAATATTTCCTGGAAAATTTTTTATATTGAAACTGAAATTTCCTGACTTTTCCAGGATTTTTCTGTACTGCAATTTTTTGAGTTTATTTTCCACAAATTTCTGGAATCTCGTGGACCTGAGTGAATCATGTTTTAATGGTGGACCTGAGTGAATCATGTTTTAATGGTGGACCTGAGTGAATCATGTTTTAATGGTGGACCTGAGTGAATCATGTTTTAATGGTGGATCTGAGTGAATCATGTTTTAATGGTGGACCTGAGTGAATCATGTTTTAATGGTGGACTTGAGTGAATCATGTTTTAATGGTGGACCTGAGTGAATCATGTTTTAATGGTGGACCTGAGTGAATCATGTTTTAATGGTGGACCTGAGTGAATCATGTTTTAATGGTGGACATGAGTGAATCATGTTTTAATGATTGAAAAAAATTATACCTAGAGCATTATTTAGCTTCTATAGAAGAGTTCTCAAATAATGATGAAGTTTCTTGTTTCATTTCACTATTGATTGCATTGGTTCAGTATTGATTGTATTGGTTCAGTATTGATTGTATCGACTCACTATTGATTGTATTGGTTCACTATTGATTGTATTGGTTCACTATTGATTGTATCGGTTCACTATTGAATGTATTGGTTCACTATTGATTGTATCGGTTCACTATTGATTGTATCGGTTCACTATTGATTGTATCGGTTCACTATTGATTGTATTGGTTCACTATTGATTGTATTGATTCACTATTGATTGTATTGGTTCACTACTGATTGTATTGGTTCACTATTGATTGTATTGGTTCACTATTGATTGCATTGGTTCACTATTGATTGTATTGATTCACTATTGATTGTATTGGTTCACTATTGATTGTATTGGTTCACTATTGATTGTACTGGTTCACTACTAATTGTATTGATTCACTATTGATTGTATTGGTTCACT